CAAGTGAGACTGTCAAGGTTCTCTCTAACTGAATGCTAACGAGACTGAATGTGGGTGTTTGGACTGCCTGGATCTGAGGATATCCCAACTTTAACCTTGGATGGGGTTGTATTTCCCCATTCAAGAATGGTGTGCAATTTGAGGGTCTTGTTGGACTTACACCTCCTGCTCAATGAGCAGTTGTAACTTTGGCCAGGAAGGCTTTTGTCTACTTCAAAAATTTTACTAAAAACTGCAGGCACCACTTCCAAAAATCACTTTCAAAAACACATTCAAAAATATTGGTAAGAAAACTATAGAACCTTGCCCAAGCAATTGTCAGAAATCAAGACCGTCATATATATTAGCAGCTTCATGGACATATTAGGCTGTTTGAGGGATTTTTTTTTAAATGCAGTAAACAAATGTTGGACTGACATTTATTATATCTTCTTTCCCAAGAGATACTGTTTTGAACCACTTCCTTTGAGTGTTTTCTTTTGGTTTTCCTTTTCCTTGCACTTGCACCTTCCTGTTCTCATATCTGCACTTTGTGGCACTCTGTCAGCCCATCAAGATAGACCAGACTAGAAACAACAGCATATAAGTCAGAGCTACTTTTGGATCAGCTATAGTAGCAGGATCAAGTTATTTTCTTGCTCTGGGATCAAGCTCCACTAATCTGACTCTTGATTTGCAAGCAGCTCTTCCTGCTGTTCTTCAAGGTCATTCCATATTCCCTCTACATACGGGGCCTTTGAGGGGTATCTCTCCTTAGTTTTGCTCAATAAACTCAACTGAATATGATCACAGATGATCCTGTCTTGGCTAAAGAAACTGAAAAAGACTCACTACCACTGCTGAGTGTGTTGCCCCAGCCAGAGACTAAACATTCTACTCCAGTGAATGGTCAGCTGTTTGGTAGACAGATTGCTGAAACACGGGAATTGAGACTGGCTAGTTTGGATAGTTTGATGAGCATGATGTCATTGTCCAAAGTTCAGGGGTTGTATTTGGGATGATGAATGATTTTGACTGAATCAATGTATTGCTCGGAACCATCATCTTTGGTCAAGCTGTGTTCACCAAGTCTCACTTGGATTCGGCTGAATAAAAAGAAACAGAGATTTTGATCACGCATAGTTTATAATGTGCTATCAGACAAAAGCCAGGCCCATTAATTCTGCAGCTCATAAGAGCATCTATTGCCCAGAGGGGATGTATCCTGAAAAAAATGGGCACAGTTGCATGATGATTTCCAGTACTCAGTAGGCAGTGAAAACTCCTACACTCATGTGTGCACCTTCATATCGAAGCATGTGTGCATACTCTATTAAATTTACTAATTTCCACTCTTCTAGGATGAGATGTAGTGGGGTGCATGTTTGTGCTATGTAATGCTTCTGATCCAAAGGCAAAGCCTGCTTTGGAGTATGGGAAGGTATGCATATCTCCATTTCCTTAGAGATACTGATTTTTCTGCCCCAAGATTTACAATTAGGTGATCTGCAACCTTAGGAAAAGGTGGATCTGATTTCAAGAGTTCTAGACAGATGCTATTATGAGCCCCTTATACATTCTGTACCATATTTTTGCCTTTATGATCAAAGTACTGCACAGCCCTCAATCAAAGTTCCTTTGAATAGCTTCCCTTCTTTATGGAACCATTTGATAATGATTTGTGTTTCAAGTTATGGATAATCTTTAAGAATATTTGCACTGTTGGGTTTAGTTTTAAAGAGCCTAGGGTTTGTCTCTCACCATTGCCTCAAAGAAGAGCTTGCCTGTACTCAGCTATTCCTCTGCACAACACTTTTTTCACTTGGTGTTATTATTGGGAATAAATTATGCTAGCCCACACACTGTGCAGAATAATTAGCAGCTTCAGCTGAAACACCACCTTTCCTTGACTATTTCATCCACAAAGACACCTGGTTCAAAATTAATGATATTTGTCTAATATAATACTGTAATCCAGTGTTTCTGAACTTTGACAGCTTTTCAATATATGGACCACTAGAAATCCCTGGGAAAAAATCTATAATTTAATCATGGTGGTTTAGGAGTCTCACCTTTACAAATTCAGCCCTGAATTGTTAGAAAAAGTTCTCAGGCTAACTAGTTTGCTGTTTAAATTCTACTTGAAAATCTACAAAGGTCTCTTATCAATCTGAAGATAAGACTTCTCAGCTCTTATTCTGAGGAAATGATTGACTTACCAGTTGCTCCCAAGAATGCTAGCAGCCAAATGAACTTCATGTTGCCTTCCTCTATCAATGGGGAAGACCAGAGGAGTTGCTACACATATTTATGTTGTGGAACCAGTATTATCTTTGCTCCAAAGACTCAACTGAAAGGAAAAATACGCAATGGAAAATACAAACTTTGTTACTTGGAACTCAACTAATAACAGGCGGAGCAGAAAGAGGGAATTCACATGAGTTTTCCCCTTACCCAATCAAACCCTTTAATCCTGCTATTCTTAGATCAATACTGTGGAATCTAAATTTATCATTCTAAATGTTAAAGATTCTATTCTTGACTTCCTTGCAGGTAAATAAATATTATTTCTATGAAGTGGGAAAAAATTGTGGCGATGTTATCATTATCATTTCAAAGGTTCCTGGGTCATGTTGGATGACACTGCATAAACCATGGAGATCAGAATGTGGGCGAAAAAACATGGTCATAAAATTTCTGCTAAAAACAGAGACTGGAAATGTGTCTATCAGTAGAGACCACAAAACTGATACTAGCCTAACAGCTGATTTTGGTCATATCTCTGCTTAAATGAGTTTTCATTTTACAACTGAAAAATTCAACTATACTGGAACATTTGTGTTTAATTCAGTGTGGAATTAGTTTTCCTGTCTATTACATCTAATACAAAAGAGAAAAAGTAAATCTCAGATTTAAGGTTTGTCCTTTTAATTCTCCTGATTACTAGAAATGGTATCACCAGAGAACTTTTCAGTAAGGAAATAACAATCTGTTCAAAATCCATTCTGAAAATAAATAACGAAGAGCAGCTTTGCACTGAAGAGATTGCTGAATGCAGAATGTACTCTGCAATGTCTGAAAACTGAGACGCCATACTGTTAAGACACATGTGATTGTACAAAAAATGAAAAGGAAGAATTGAAAAAAACCCACTATTATTGCTAATAATATCTGTCATAATCTGCCATTAATATTGTTACTAAGTCAGTTCCATAACTGGTGTTGCAAGTCCCCACCTTCACTTCCTGCTTGGTTGGAGAGGCTCAGAAGCCCTTCCTCCCGCCAAAGCGGTGCTCTAGGCAGCTTCTTCTGTGCCAGGATTCAGCTGTCAAGCTGTGACTTTTCTTGCGGTAGGAGAAATGCAGTGGGAAGTACTTGGGGTGCAGTTATGGGCAGGTAGGGATTCTTTTTCTCAAGTGGATAAATGGCTTTAGCTATTCCCAAAATTAAAAAAAAACCCACAGAAAAATGATGTTAGGAAAAAAGAGAAAGAAGAGAAGCATTGCAGCAGAAAAAAGCCGACGAAACAAACTGATCAAGAAGTGAGAATTAGGAGGTTTGTCTAAATGAGTTGAGAAGTCTTTGCTAGAATAGAAGTGATCCAGCTTTTGATGTCTGATTATTGTCCTCTGTCTTAAATACGATTAATATAGAATTATAAATTATACTTGATATATTATACCTGAATTTATTAGTATAATGATTTCACTACTGTTTGCCTTTCAGCATATTGCTTTGAGTTTATTTCTGCCTTTATGTTGTTTTCAGCTGTGTTGAGCATTCTCTTTATTATGGAAAGGTGGAAATAAAAAGTGCATTTAATTTGGCAAAGGGAAAACAAAATGCTATTGAAAAGACATAAAGCTCATAGCTTTCCCACACCCCTGTCCCTCATTATGCAATTTCTAAGCCTTTGTCTGGTGATATGTGAGCAGGATTTTATAGGAAACATTAGTGACACAAGGAGAGTAAATCTTATTCTGAAGAAGAAAGAAACATTTACAGAAAACAGCACTTTTAGGTTTCAAGTGTGACAGTGTGTATTAAGCATCTCCCCCGGGACGGATCTTGCCCTCCCTTGCAGTCTTCATAGGTCTTTGCCACGGAGTCACTGTGACCCAGAAGGAACGCTTCAAAATCATCCAAGCAGGGACCCAGATGGACATCATCACTTGTGAACACGATGACAACAGCTATTTAGTCATCCATTGGTATCGGCAGGAGCTTAATAGTGGACAGACAGAACTAAAACTGATCGGTTATTCCGTACAAGGAAACAGTCCACAAATGGAAATTGGGAACTTCAACATAGACAGACCAGATGTGACCCATTCTTCTCTCAGGATTCCTCCAGATGAGGCTGCAAAGCCAGCAGTATATTTCTGTGCTGTTTCTCAGGCACAGTGAGAGCTCCAGGTTTCACAGCTGCACATGAACTTTGCAGCGCTGCAATGAGCCTCAGTCCATGCCACAAAGACATATAAGCCAGACCGCTTCGGTTATACAGCATCCGAATCACAGGAACATAGAACAGTAAAACTTTCTGGATCACTGTAATATTTAAGGGGGCGGGGGGGGGAGAGAAAATGTGGCAAAACCTGTTTGTGTTTCACCCTTATAAATGACTAAGCAACCTGATAGAATTTTGACTGTTATGAATGAGAAGTTACAAACAAATGGTAAAATATTATTTGCAACTAGGATAGAATAGCAAGGAATTTAAAGCACTCTGTTCCTATTTGATATCCTCCACTCTGGTGTTTGACTACAAATTATCTGCTTCCAGGAAAAAAACTTATTGATCAGAACTACGTAGCTCTTTGCACAATGTCTCTGAAGTAGGATAATTTGAGCCTGTCCAACTATGCCACTAGTGAGAATTTTGGGTTGATTTGTTTTATGATCTATCAGTTTGTTTTCTTGGTGTAGAGTGAAGCCAGCATGAGTACAGGACAGGAAAGGCTTAAACATTAAATGCAGATATGCTCCAAAACACTAAAGCTACCTAGAACTGTAATATAATTTAATACTGAAATACAGGCTATTCTTGCTTAACAGTGGTAATCGGGACTGGAATTTCTCTCAGTAAGCTATGAGGTTGTAAATATCACATCACATGACCATGCTGCTTTTTGAGGGCAGTTCTGGCAGTTCTTGGTTACCATAATTAAGCAAGGACCACATAGATTGTTGAGTGACTGCAACTTTTGATTTTCTGTTGGCTTCCCAATTGGGGAGACCTAAAAGAGATCTTGAGATTATCTGAGAGGATGGATAGGATCATTTTAACAAGGCAGCATCTAATATTACCTCTCATTGCATAGATATGGGCCATAGCCAGCCCTTTGAAGCAGACCGGCAATCATTATTATGATTAGATGCTATATATTGGACTTTTATAAGCGTGCCTTCCAAAAACATATACAGCTTTCTAATGGAGACAGTTAATACATTAATCTGTGAATCACCAAGTCTCTTGTATTTAATGAAGAAATCTCATGTGGTGTTTATAGGCAAAAAATTCATAGTGTTCACATCAAAAGCCATTCTTCTGGCAATTGAAGTTAAGTGACTCTTTGATGGAATTCTTGTGTCATAACCTGATTCTTTTTCTCCTAATTATCACTTATTTATTTATTATTTATTGGCCACCCATCTTACCATAGGGTAACTCTGCGTGGCATACAGTCATAAAAATATATATCTAACAACAACAACAACAACAACAACAATAATAATAAAGTTGGAAGTCTAACAAAACCTAAAGACACATGGGGAGGGCAGGGCCAGAGTAGGGGGAGGTTGGACCAGTTGTTACTCGATCTCCATTGTGTTGTTCCCCCACTAGGCCCCCAGGTCAGCTGGCAGAGCCGTGTCTTTAAGCCCTTGTGAAAGGATTGGAGGGTTGGGGTCAACCTTACATGGGGAGGGAAAGATCTTCCAGGAGCAACAGCAGGAGCAACAGCAGAGAAGGCCTTCCTCCTGGACCCCACCTGCCAGAATACTCACACTGATGGGACCCACAGTATTACCTCCTCTGCTGTCACAGGTGGCATGAACCAATCCCAGTGGAGTGAGATGATCCATTAAGTAACCTGGATCCATGCCATGAAGGTTTTTAAAGGTGATCACCAACATCTTGAATTGCATCCCAAAGCAGACTGGTAACCAAAGCAGCTCACAATGGGGCCATTCTAGGGGCCATCAAAACTGCTTGCACTGCCACACTCTGCACCAGCTATAGCTTCTGAATGCTCTTCAAGAGTAGCCCCATGTAGAGCGCATTACAATAATCCAACCTTCAGATGACCAGGGAATGAATGACTGAGTGCAGGGAATTCTGATCCAGGAAAGGTTGCAACTGGCATACAAAATAAAGTTGTGCAAAACCCTCCTAGCTGTGACTGCCACCTGCTCCTCAAGCAGGAGTGATGGGTTCAGGAGAACCCCAAGTTGCAGATCAGATCTTTCTGGGGCAATGCCATCCCATCCAGAGTCAAAGATGAGAAGTCCCTGATCCCGGAGCCCTGTGTACCCAAAGCCACTTGGTCTTGCCAGGGTTCAGTCAAAGCCTGTTGACTCCCATCCAGGCCCCCACAGTCTCCAGGCACTGTGAGAGGGCGGCCACAGCATCACTTGTATCATCAAGAGTGGAGATATAGAGTTGAGTGTCATCAGCATACTGTATATATTGGTGACAAATGATCTTGCCCAGTGGTTTCATATAGATGTTGAAAAGGAGTGGAGAGAGTACCAAGCCCTGTGGCACATCACAGAATAGTGAGCGAGGGCTGGACTTCTCATTCCCTATCAATACCAGTTGAGACTGGCCCTGGAGAAAAGAGCTGAACCAGCACAGAACTGTGCTGCACAGCCCCAGCCCCAGTCCCCACAGCCGACCCAAAATAATACCATGGTTGATAGTGTTGAAAGCCACTAAGAGATCAAGGAGAGCAAGCAGTACCTCCACCTCGCTCTCACCAGACATCATCAATAAGCACAACCAATTTCCATTCTATAACTGGGCCTGAATCCTGACTGAAAGGGGTCTAGATAATCTGTTTCACCCAGGACCCTCAGCAGCTGCTAGGCCACCACATTTTCCACAACTTTCCCTAAGAACAGGAGGTTGGAAACTGGATGAAAATTGTCCAGTCAGGTGGGATCCAATGATAGTTTTTTAAGGAGGTGAACCTCATTAAAAGCATCTGGAAATGTCCCCTCCTCCAGTGACATATTAATCACTGCCTGGACCCACCTGCTAGTCACCATCCTGGAACTTTTCACCATCCAGGAGGAACAAGTATCTAACTGACAGGCAATTGCACTGACAGCATCAAGGGCCCTGTCCACTTCATTGGGGCCAACAGGATCAAACCATACCCAGATAATAGGGCAAGATCTCTCTCTGGGCATCTCATAAGGACCATCTCCATGCATGGGATCCAACTGGGAATGGATCTGAGCGACTTTGTCCATCAGGTGCTGTCCAAACTCCTTTGTAAAATGTAATCATACCTCTGAGGGACTAGTTCTTAGAACTGTCTCCAATCTAAGTTGCTACAAAAGAAATTTACTGGTGTGAAATAAAGCGTAGGTGTATAACAAAGTAGGCCTTCTATATGACTGCTCTCAAACTATGGAATGTGGCTGATCCCAGCAATTTGCCTAAGCCCTTCACTTCCTGGTATTCAGCAGCATACTCAAGACTGTTTTGAAGATGTCTTTGATGCATTGATACTTAAAGGTTGCAGATTTGATTATGTTTTATCAAAGGCCTGGAGACTAAAACATAAGAAGAACGGCTGCAGGATTTGGGTTTGGCTAGTCTAAAGAAAAGAAGAAATAGGGGAGACATGACAGCAGTGTTCCAGTATTTGAGGGGCTGCCACAAAGAAGAGGGAGTCAGATTATTCTCCAAAGCACCAGAGGGCAGGACAACAAAGAAATTGATCAAAGAGAGAAGCGACCTGGAATTAAGGAGAAACTTCCTGACAGTGAGGACAATTAACCAGTGGAACAGCTTGCCTCCAGAAATCGTGGGCACTCCATCACTGGAGATTTTTAAGAAGAGACTGGACAGTCACTTGTCTGAGATGGTCTAGGTTCTCCTGCTTGAGCAGAGGGCTGGTCTAGAAGGTCCCTTCCAGCTCCATTCTATTCTATTCTATTCTATTCTATTCTATTCTATTCTATTCTATTCTATTCTATTCTATTCTATTCTATTCTATATTGTGGTTAATATACACCTCCTGAACGCAATTAATTGGAGCATTATCATCACCATCATCACCATCACCGTCACCATCATCATTCATCATTGAACTTTTGTAACTATTAGCAGTTCCATTTAAGAAGTGATTCTTACTAATTCTTCATGGCTTCCCTCATTATTTTGCTATCTTTGAATGTGATAATTGAAAAGGATTAAAATTCATCTTGTTTAAAGACCAAGACCTTACCCCTCCACCAGAGAAAGACACCAATCACCAGGCTTGCCACGCTACAACTTAATTTTTATTTTTGCAGATGTAGTCATTCTTTTCTCAATCTGTGAAATGTCAGCTGGAGATGTCAAAAAGGGAGCTTTCCAGACAGGAAGTGCAGATCAGTTGGAACGGATGGTTTCTTGAATCCAGGAAACGTAGTTGCAAACTTTAGTGTAGACACCAGGGAAGCCTTTCAGAGCACATCCTCTGCCCCAAGAGACAATTCCTTGGAGTTCCCCATTGCAGACAACTGGACCACCAGAGTCACACTGAAAAAGAAATGATGAACATGTATTTAGCAAGCGGGATAGTGAGTGAGTGAAGATAACTTGCATTATCTATAATTTGCATGCTCTGGTGGGTGGAGGGACAGAACAGTTTGCACAAAGCAAAAGATCTTCCAAGTGAAATTGGTTTAATACTGCTTGATATTAGGTGTCACCATTGCTACCAGGATGGGATGAAAATTTCAGAAATACTACTCCTTAGCTTTCTAAAAGAGAAGGCAGATACAGCGTGCGGTTCATAACATAATAAGAACTGGAGGTCAAGTGATTGATGTTGTTTGTTTATTCATTAGAAGCAGGGAAAGACCAGAGAGGTTGCAGAAACAACTTGTGAATATAGGGATCTCTCCCCAACTACCCACTTCTCTATTATATCCTCAGGCTTAAACACCAGCCAGCTATGAATTTAACTTATACAATAGGAGATTTTTGAGCACCGTCTGAAATATATGCTAATAGTGGAGGAAAGATTTACCTGACAAGAGTCTTTTCCACCTTCTAGGTATCCTGCACAAAACATATTGTTGGTGATTTTCCCTTTATAAGACCCAATGCACTCACTCTGTGAAAGTACAGGGACATCCAGGCACTGTAGGAGGTCTGGATAGTGTACTGTGGGAAAGATCAGAGAGGCTGTGTTCATTTTCATAAGTAAATATTAGACATACACTAGATATTGTCTACAGAGCAATAATAGAAAAGAAGAACCTCTTACAAACCTCTATAATAATATAGTTGCCCAAAGGATGCCAATGACCCTTTCCTTCAGTGGAAAAATGGTCCAGTTGACCAAAACCTGGACTTAAGGCAAATTCTGATTGGAGTACAGGTAGTCCTCAACTTATGACCACAACTGAGGCAAAGGGTTCTGTTGCTAAGCAAGACAGTTGTTAAGTAAATTTTGCCTCATTTTATATCTTGCAACACTTGCTAAGTGAATCATTGCTATTGTTAATATCAGTTGTTAAATGAATCTGGCTTCCCCATTGACTTAGCTTGTCAGAAGTTTGCAAAAGGTGTTCTCATGACCCCAGGACACTGTAACTATCATAAAAACATGCAGGTTGCCAAGCATCCGAATGTTGAATACACGAACACAAGGATGCTGCTATGGTTGAAAGTGTTATTTCAGTGTTATAACTTTGAACCAAAACTAAATGTATGGTTATAAGGTGAGGACTACCTGTATATTGTTTCACATGACGTTGTGACATTTATAATGGACTTTGGAGGGAAATGAATGCCAGAAATAAATTTGTATTAGCTATTTGCCCTCTGTAATTGTTAGCTTTGCTCAATAAACCCAACTGCACATAATCACATCTTGACCCTATCTTGATCAATGAACATGAAAGAGACTCACTGCCACTGCTGAGGGTGTTGCCCCAGCCAGAGACTAAACATACTGCTCCGGTGGATGGACAGCTGCTTGGTAGACGGATTGCTGAAACACGGGAATTGAGAGTGGCTGGTTTGGATAGTTTGATGAGCATGATGTCATTGTCCAAAGTTCGGGGGTTGTATTTGGGATGGAGAATGATTTTGACTGCATCAATGTACTGCTCGGAGCCATCATCTTTGGTCAAACTGTGTTCCCCAAGTCTCACTTGGATGCGGCTGAAGCAAAACAAGACACAGAGAGTTTGGTCATATCAATTTTCATCCAACCCCCCTTTAACTTGCAGTAAGCCAAAAGCCAGGCCCACTAATATTGATGCTCACAAGAGCATCCAGTTGTCCAGAGTGGTGGAATCCTGAAAAAGATGGAAGCAATTGCATGTTGGCTTCCGCTACTGAGTAGGCAATGAACACTTCTACAAATATGTGTGTATGTACAAATAGAAGCATGTTTGTGTATCATTTATTAGATTTACTAATACAAGTAAATATTTTAGTGCAACGGTGATGTCCCAAATATAATAAGAACACATTATTACTTACGACCTAGAGCAGTGAGCAGCTGAAACAATCCATTGGTTGTTTAGGATGGAGCCACCACAGATATGTTGCCCGACATTCAGGGAGACCTGATAGGGAACAGAATGCTTTTGGCAGGTGTAGCCACCCACAATCTTATCATCATTTTCATCTTCGATGGGGAAGGCAACTGGATAGTGAAAATATTTAGAGAAAATTTCATCGTGGGTGAAAGAGGAACCAAATGTTTTCCAATTTTAGCAGAAAGGATTCACAAAATATTTGTTATACTTAGAAGGGTCCATATGATGGGATCTTCAATCCATTCAGGCAAGCCATGGATGGCCAATCAACTAGTAGGAAATCATATGAGGAGGGAGGGAGGGTGGAAGGCAGGAAGAAGAGAAGGATGTAGGAAATAATAGAAAAGGAAATCTATCTAAATGTAGATACAATTACATTCACTACACCTCTCTTAACTACTAAACCATCCTAATGTCCACCATATTTGTGCAACAGTTTGCCATTATGTTTTTTTTCTTCTAACTTCTCATTTTGAGATTTCATAAACTCTGTTCAACCACAAACGTCGTCCATTTCTACCCGATCACTCCTTCTTCCTATATTTGATTATTCTTTCTCTATGTCCCAACGAAAAGAGAATACTAGTTTTGTACGGGTCATTCTCTTTTTATTTTATTATAGGTACCCCTGAATTTTGCCATTCTTCATTCATCTGTGAGGTGCCTCCTAATATACAGTTTCAATGCCTCACACACTTACACATTTTCACTTCTTTTAAGAAACAGCTGCCTTGTACATTCTATAGCACCTTTTTGCCTTCACATTCAAAGTACTGCACATCCCTCAGTCAAAGATCCTTTGAATAGCTCTCCTCCTCTATGGAACCATTTATCTCCTGCAACAGCATGGAATTGATATACGTTTCTGAGTTTCAAGTTATGGATAATCTTTAAGAATACTTGAGTGGTTGGGTTTAGTTTTAAAGAGCCTAGGGTTTGTCTCTCACCATTGCCTCAAAGAAGAGCTTGCCTGTTCTCAGCTATTTTTGTGTACAATACATTTTTCACTTGGTGTTATTATTGGGAATAAATTATGCTAGCCCACACACTGTGTAGATTAATTTAGCAGTTTCTGCTGAAACACCAACTTTCCTTGGCTATTTCATTCACAAAGACACCTGGTTCAAAATTAATGATATTTGTCTAATATAATATTGTAATCCAGTGTTTCTGAACTTTGACAGCTTTTCAATATATGGACCACTAGAAATTCCAGGAAAAAATTCTATAATTTAATCTTGGTGGTGTAGGAGTCCACCTTTACAAATTCAGCCCTGAATTGTTAAAAAAAGTTCTCAAGCTAACTAGTTTGCTGTTTAAATTCTACTTGAAAATCTACAAAGGTCTCTTATCAATCTGAAGATAAGACTTCTCAGCTCTTATTCTGAGGAAATGATTGACTTACCAGTTGCTCCCAAGAATGCTAGCAGCCAAATGAACTTCATATTGCCTTCGTCTATCAATGGGGAAGACCAGAGGAGTTGCTACACATATTTATGTTGTGGAACCAGTATTATCTTTGCTCCAAAGACTCAACCGAAAGGAAAAATACGCAATGGAAAATACAAACTTTGTTACTTGGAACTCAACTAATAACAGATGGAGCAGAAAGAGGGAATTCACATGAGTTTTCCCCTTACCCAATCGAACCCTTTAATCCTGCTATTCTTAGATCAATACTGTGGAATCTAAATTTATCGTTCTAAATGTTAAAGATTCTATTCTTGACTTCCTTGCAGATATACTGGGATCAGATAGCAAAAAGCCAATTAACCCGAGACAAAAACTCAGCTCAATTTAATTTAAATAAAAATGGAGTGAGTTATGTGAATATGGTTACTTTAAATTCCATCTGACTTGCAAAAAATAAAAAATCTACCCTCCAAGTATATTCTTATGAATAGATGCTATTAGGCTTCAGGGCATAAAAAGAACCCCAATACTTAAAATTATTCAGTTTGAGAAATTGGAATTCATTTTATTTGCCTTAAGGTTTCCTTTATTTATACATACATATAGTTTATAGGCTGCATAGTCCTAGTGACTCTGAGTGGTTTACAATTAGAAGTAAGAAAATAATAAAAAAATCACAAACAGCCTGAAGGTGGATTTATAACTTAAAGAAAAAGAAATCCTCCAAAAGACAGGCTCACCCATCATCCCGCCCTGAAGCCCAGGAAAACCATCAGATCTTACCAGTTTTCTGAATATCATCAAGGTAAAAAGCGTGAAGACCTCTGGGGGGATTGACATTTCAGAGCTTCCTGAATGCTCTTGTCGGATGGTGCTGCTTAAATGATGGCACCCAAAATGTGGTCGAAACAGTATACTGAAAATGCTCATAAAATTTCAGTTAATACAGAAAGTGGAAAAGTTTCTGCCAGCCACCAAACTGAGATTAACCTAATTGTGATTATGGTCCTATCTCTAGATATTTTACAGATGAAAGATGCAATGATGTTTGAACATTTGTGTTTAATTCAGTGTGGAATCAGCTCCTCTGTCTATTATATTTAACATAAAAGAGGAAAAGGGAATCTTCTCAAATGTAAAGTTTGTCCTTTTGATTCTCAGGATTGTGAGAAATGGTTAATACTGTCATAGAAGAACATTTCAATAAGAAAACAGCCATTCTTTTTTTTAAAGTATTTTATTAATTTTCTATTATTACAATTCGTTAGTGCTTAATATATAACGTGTTGTCTGGGTTGATTTGTTTTGCTTAGTAATACAGGTTAAGTTCTTACTCTCTATCCCGTTTTTCCAGCCATTGATAAAATGAGTTCCATCTTTGAAAATATTCTGTGTCTTCTTTTTCTTTGATGATGATGACAATAATAATAATAATAATAATAATAATAATAATAATAATAATAATAATAATAATAATAATAATAATAANAAGAAGAAGAAGAAGAAGAAGAAGAAGAAGAAGAAGAAGAAGAAGAAGAAGAAGAAGAAGAAGAAGAAGAAGAAGAAGAAGATAATGCTCCAATTAATTGAGTCCAGGATATGTGTATTAACCTCAAAATAAAGATAAAACAATAATCACCCAATCTGAATAAGTTAGGTATATCGCATCAAAGATAACTTTACAACAGTCTTGAGTATCCTCCTCAATACCAGGAAGTGATAGTTGATAGATTGGAGACAATCCTAAGAACTAGCCCTCAGAGGTATGATTAATGATATTTAGGAGAAAAAAGATTCTGATTATGACACAAGAATTCCAGCAAAGAGTCACTTAACTTCAATTGTCAGAAGAAGGGATTTTGAGGTGAACACAAGTATTTTTTCCCTATAAACACCATAACAAATTTTCTTCATTAAATACAAGAGACTTGGTGATTCACAGATTAATATATTAATTGTCTCTGTTTATAATTTTTTGGATGCCAGGCTTATACAAATCCAATATCTAATCTAATCTAATCTAATCTAATCTAATCTAATCTAATCTAATCTAATCTAATCTAATCTAATCTAATCTAATCTAATCTAATCTAATCTTGATTGCCAGTCTGCTTCAAAGAGCTAGCTGTGACCCATATCTACTGTATGCAATGAGAGGTAATATTAGGGCTGCCTTGTCTAAAATGATCCTATCCATCTTCTAATCTAGGGAAGATCTCTTTTAAGGTCTCCCCAAATGGGAAGTCAACAAGAAAACAAAAGTTGTGGTCATTCAACAATCTATGTGATCCTTGCTTAATTACGATAACCACGGACTGTCAGAACTGCCCTCAAAAAGTAGCATGGTCACGTGATGTGATATTTACAACCTCATTGCTTACTGAGAGAAATTCCAGTCCCAATTAACACTGTTAAGCAAGAATGGCCTCTATTTCAGTATTAAATTAGATTATTAGTTTGCATAGTGATTTATAAGAGTGAAACACAATCAGGTTTTGCCAGATTTTCTCTTTTCCCTCCCTTAAATATTACGGTGATCAAGAAAGGTTTTTATTGCTCTATGTTCCTGTGATTCGGATGCTGTATAACTGAGGCAGTCTGGCTTATATGTCTTTGTGGCACGGACCAAGGCTCATTGCAGCGCTGCAAAGTTCATGTGCAGCTGTGAAACCTGGAGCTCTCACTGTGCCTGAGAAACAGCACAGAAATATACTGCTGGCTTTGCAGCCTCATCTGGAGGAATCCTGAGAGAAGAATGGGTCACATCTGGTCTGTCTATGTTGAAGTTCCCATTTTCCATTTCGTTGTGTCCTGAGCCTGCTGAAGCATTCAGCAGGCTCAGAAATGTTGCAAACGGTCCCGGGCAGACCCAAAACTGCCCGGGACCAGACTGGCTGTCGCCAGCCTTGTGCGCATGCGCAAAGTGCGAAAACAGCCAGCTTCCTATTGGCTGACACTGTCCGGGTTCAGGACTCTATAAAAGGCCTGCGTGCCTTTTGGCTGTTGCTTGGTTGTAAGGAGAAGATTAATAAAGAGATTGCTTGTTCATCATGTGTCTTCGTCTAATGCCTGAGAACCGAATACATAAAACATTTGAAGTTCCCATTTTCCTCTGTTTCCTTGTATGGAATAGCCGATGAGTTGTAATTCTGTCTGTCCACTATTAAGCTCCTGCCGATACCAATAGATGAATAAATAGCTGCTGTCATCGTGTTCACAAGCGATGATGTCCATCTGGATCCCTGCTTGGATGGTTTTAAAGCGTTCCTTCTGGGTCACAGTGACCCCGTGGCAAAGACCTATGAAGACTGCAGGGGAGGGCAAGATCCGTCCTGGGAGAGATGCTTAATACACACTGTCACACTTGAAACCTAAAAGTGCTTTTTCCGTAAACATTTCTTTCTCTTTCAGAATAAGATTTACTCTCCTTGTGTCACTAAATTAAATGCATCCCCACAACAACAGCAAGAGGATGGGCCAAGCTTTCTACGGCCTTCCCATTTTTTTTCTCCTGGCTCATTATTTTTAACATACATGTTATTAGAACCCAATCTGGGTTGGTCACACATATGATACATGAAATTATATGAGTGCCTGAAACACAAGAGACACAAGACTGATCTTCTCTTGGCCACATCAGATGAATTAAGGCCACTCACTGTTCCTCAACCCAGCCACTCTCATGGGCTAATTCTACAGATCTATTAGAGGAGGTTCTGAAGGGTGGCACTCTCGGTACCTGGATAGGGTAGACATTTCCACTTTTTATTTCCACCTTTCCATCTAAAGAGAATGCTCAACAACACGTGTGTTAACAGTATGGCAACTCAGTTTTCAGACATGAGATGCATGTCTGCGTTAGGTACATTCAGTGCAGCTGTCTTTTCGGTGCAAAGCTGCTCTTTGTTATTTATTTTCGCAAGGGATTTTGAACAGTCAAAGATTGTTATTTCCTTACTGAAAAGTTCTCTGGTGATACCATTTCCAGCAATCAGGAGAATTAAAAGGAGATTTAGTTTTTCTCTTTTGTATTAGATGTAATAGACAGGAAAACTGATTCCACACTGAATTAAACATAAATGTTCCAGTATAGTTGAATTTTTCAGTTGTAAAATGAAAATTCATTTAAGCAAAATCAGCTGTTAGGTTAGTATCAGTTTTGTGGTCTCTACTGATAGACACATTTCCAGTCTCTGTTTTTAGCAGAAATTTTATGACCATGTTCAATACACTTTTTCACCCACATTCTGATCTCCATCATTTATGCAGTGTCATCCAACATGACCCAGGAACTTTTGAAATGATAATGATAACACACAATTTTTCCACTTCATAGAAATAATATTTATTTACCTGCAAGGATGTCAAGAATAGAATCTTTAACATTTAGTATGATAAATTTAGATTCTGCAGTATTGATCTAAGAATAGCAGGATTAAATGGTTGGATCGGGTAAGGGGGAAACTCATGTGAATTCCCTCTTTCTGCTCCACCTGTTATTAGTTGAGTTCCAAGTAACAAAGTTTGTATTTTCCATTGCGTATTTTTCCTTTCGGCTGAGTCTTTGGAGCAAAGATAATACTGGTTCCACAACATAAATATGTGTAGCAACTCCTCTGGTCTTCCCCATTGATAGACGAAGGCAATATGAAGTTCATTTGGCTGCTAGCATTCTTGGGAGCAACTGGTAAGTCAATCATTTCCTCAGAATAAGAGCTGAGAAGTCTTATCTTCAGATTGATAAGACACCTTTGTAGATTTTCAAGTAGAATTTAAACAGCAAACTAGTTAGCCTGAGAACTTTTTTTAACAATTCAGGGCTGAATTTGTAAAGGTGAGACTCCTAAACCACCAAGATTAAATTATAGATTTTTTTCCTGGGGTTTCTAGTGGTCCCTATATTGAAAAGCTGTCGATGTTCAGAAACACTGGATTACAGTATTATATTAGACAAATATCATTAATTTTGAACCAGGTGTCTTTGTGGATGAAATAGCCAAGGAAAGTTGGTGTTTCAGCTGAAGCTGCTAATTATTCTGCACAGTGTGTGGGCTAGCATATCTTATTCCCAGTAATAACACCAAGTGAAAAAAGTGTTGTGCAGAGGAATAGCTGAGTACAGGCAAGCTCTTCTTTGAGGCAATGGCGAGAGACAAACCCTAGACTCTTTAAAACTAAACCCAACAGCTCAAATATTCTTAAAGATTATCCATAACTTGAAACACAAATCATTATCAAATGGTTCCATAAAGAAGGGAAGCTATTCAAAGGAACTTTGATTGAGGGCTGTGCAGTACTTTGATCATAAAGCTGTCAAAGTTGATTGGTAATAACACCAAGTGAAAAATGTATTGTACACAAAAATAGCTGAGAACAGGCAAGCTCTTCTTTGAGGCAATGGTGAGAGACAAACCCTAGGCTCTTTAAAACTAAACCCAACCACTCAAGTATTCTTAAAGATTATCCATAACTTGAAACTCAGAAACGGATATCAATTCCATGCTGTTGCAGGAGATAAATGGTTCCATAGAGGAGGAGAGCTATTCAAAGGATCTTTGACTGAGGGATGTGCAGTACTTTGAATATGAAGGCAAAAAGGTGCTATAGAATGTACAAGGGGCTTGTGAATGGCAGCTTTCTATAACTCCTGAAAACAGATCCACCTTTTCCTAGGATTTCAGATTACCTAATTGTACAATCGGGGGTGGGGGATCAGTATCTCTAAGGAGTTGGAGATATGCCTTATGCATATACTCCCATACTCTAAAGCAGGCTTTGCCTTTGGATCAAAAGCACTATGTTGTGTTCTTTGTATTCCCCCCCTTAATCCCCTATGCATATCCTGATCACCCATTAAGGGTGATTGCCCTTCACCATTGATCGCCCATTAAGGGTGATTGCCCTTCACCATTGATCGCCCATTAAGGGTGATTGCCCTTCTCCATCTGCATACAGTTTCATGCCCGTTGCTGGTTGGCTAACTAGCAACAGGGTCTT